GGAAGGCAGGCAGCTTTTTTACTTTAAAAGCTGCCCCTAACTCTCCTTACTATAAAAGTATTCAATTTAGCAACACTTCACCCAAGTATTCCTATAACTTTGTTACACTTTCCAATGGAAAAGTGGAAACAGTGCCTTTTTCTCTCACACACACCCTGAGGGAGTGGGCTCTCTCTTTTCTTTCTTTCTATAAGCAATTTGAATCGGCTACAAGCCGATCAGGATCCTAATCACTATGAAAACAGTGCTTTTTCTTCTCTCACACCCCCTTTGCAGGGAGTGGGCTCTCTCTTATAACTTTCTATAAGCAATCTGAAACGGCTACAAGCCGATCAGGATCCTAATCACTGTGATGGCACACCAGGAAGATCTAATGAGAAACCTAAATGTGTCTGGCTATTTTCCCAGTGACCATCGATATGCCCTAATTACTATAATTCCCCCAAAATAAAACTCTACAAACAAGAATAAGTTTAACAATTGTTTACTAAACAAACAAGATGAATTACAACAATGTACAAAGGTGTGAATCTGAGGTAAAAAAACAACTATAATTTCTATGAGGTAAATACTCTATAAACTCTGGGGTATGTACTATCTAAACTATCTATCTATAACTATCTATCTATAGGGCAAATACAAACTATCTATCTATAAACTCTAAGGCAAATACGTGATTAGGATGGCCTGTTCAAATTGCTAGGCCAGACCAGACACTATCTGGCAACTATCTATAAGCTAAGACTAACAAAGAATGGGAAACGAAGTTCTATAACCAGCCCATTCTGGCTCTGAGTCAGAATGGGCTGCACCAACCGAACTCGGCCTCTAGGGGGAACCTAAGCTCTCCCCTAAACTTGGTAAAATGGAACAGTCCAACTGAGAAATAAACAGGCCGAGACATTACAGTGGCCCTATGTATATGACATTACTAGAGCTTAAAGAGTAGGCAAAGCATCTGAAATCTTGTGCTGCCTCCTGCAGAATTCCGGGCGTTATTTATTTATTTGTCCCATTTATACACCTTCTCAACCCCATAGGGGACTCAAGGAGGCTTACATACACAGGGAGTTGTAGTTCAGTGAGACCCAGGACCTCTCTGGCTGAGCATTTAAAGGCCCCCTCCCCTAAACTACAAGCCCAGCAACCAACTAATGTCACCCTTCTTAAATGAACTGGGGGTCCCAAGTACACTTACCATTTAATGCAGTGTCAAACTGGTATTGAAGAAAATGCTTGCAATAATCAGAAATGAAGTCCCCACCCCCAAGTGCACTGTAATTTGAATAAATCTGCAATGATAAATCAAAGGTCAAGTCTCAAAAATATGTCAGACAATTCAGGAAGCAAAATTGGATCATTGAATGGATTGAGATTAATATGGGAATTAGATTTAGGGTTTAAATAGAGGAGAAAATGGAACTCAGTTTGGAAAATCCAATCTTATATATCAATTTCAGCACAACTGAAAAAAAATACTCTGAAAATTATGCATAGATGGTACCATTATCCACTCAAACTACATAAAATCAATAGAATCTTTACTTGGAGAGTAATATGGGATCAGAGAGTAATATGGGATCCCATACTGGAGAGTAATATGGGATCCCATACTGGAGAGTAATATGGGATCGGAGCCACATGTGGCTAATGTGCGTAAAGTATGGAGATTCTGGGAGGAAGTGCTATCATGCATAAGCCAAGTAGTGGGGAAACTACACTTCAGGGGAGCTCTATAAATGATTTCTGGGTACTGTTTCATTATGCAGGCGGGGGCCAGCAGGGGGCACTAGAGAGAGAAGGATAGTCCATTTGGGGGGAGGAGTGGGGAAAGGAGAGAGGGGGAATAACCAGCAAAATGGGGGAAGTGGTTTTCCTCCTTCAACTCCCCCCTCCCCATAAAATAGACTATCCTTCTCTCTCTACTGCCCCCTGGTGGCCTTTGTCTGGATAATGGAACAGTACCGATTTGGGTATTCAAAAGTGAGAATAAGGATCTGTGGTAAATAATAAAAAAATACTATTCCTGTTATGTGTCACAAGACTCAAAATTGTGAAAACCTGGAAAAAAGTTAGAGGATCTGACAATAAAGAGCTGGTTAAACGGGATGTGGGTGATAACTCTATAAGAAAAGTTAATTTATAAATTAAGATTAGCAAAAAAGTGAATTGAAAGAAAATCTATTTGATAAAACCTGGAAACCATTTATTAGTTTAATGTGTAAAAGCAATGGCGAATTTAAACCACCAAACGTCCAAGAAGGATTGTGGTTGAGTAATTTATGAATACATTACAATAAAAAAGCAAAAAGATTTTTAAAAGAAGAAAAAACAAACAAACTGGTTTTGTTGTGCAGACGATTACATAGGAAGTCCTGTAACCAATTTTGAGCCCGGATGGTGATGACACAAACCACAGAGCACTTATACATAGAGACAATCTCTTAAGATTATATGGATCAGAGTTTCCTCAAAATTCATCAAATGCACAACGTAGTGGAGGGAAAGGATTAGAGCAGATTTTTTAAAAATAAATAAATAAAATAAATCTGACTCTATAAGAAATGATTAAAGGTGGACTGCTGGGTGTAAGGTGACTGGGATTTAGTTTGTAATGTATTTTAATGTTTTTATATTTGATGACACAAAGGGTTTAATCGTGTTTTTATATACTTATATTTTAATTCATTTACATTTATTTAACTTGCATTGTACCCTATTTATCTATATATCAGGAGAAAGGCAGGATAAAAAAACAAAATAAGTAAATAAAACAAATGCACAGTGTTTACATTTTTATATTTGCTTTCCACTCCCTTCTTGCAATTTCTTTCTTGCAAATTTTTTCTTGCAAAGTGTTGGTTGCTGTGAGTTTTCTGAGCTGTATGACCATGTTCCAGAAGCGTGGTCTGACATTTCGCTCATATCTATGGCAGGCATCAGAGGTTGCGAGGTCTGTTGGAAACTAGGCAAGTGGGATTTATAGATCTATGAAATGTACAGGGTAGGAGAAAAAACTCTTGTCTGTTTGAGGCAAGTGTGAATGTTGCAACTGGCCAGTTTCATTAGCATTGAATAGCCTTCCAGCTTCAAAGCCTGGCTGCTTCCTGCCTGGAGGAATCCACTCAGGCATGGGCAAACTTCAACCCTCCAGGTGTTTTGGACTTCAACTCCCACAGCTGGTTCAACTCCCCCCCCCCCCCCCCCCCCCGGCTGTTAGGGATTGTAGGAATTGAAGTCCAAAACACCTGGAGGGCAGAAGTTTGCCCTTGCCTGTGTTAGCTGCCACAGATGTGGGCAAAACACTAAAAAAACCAGGGGATATTATTTATTTATTATTTGTGATATTTGTATACCGCCCTTCACAATCCCGAAGGGGATTCAGGGCGGGTGTGTGTTGGCAACAATTCAATGCCATCGATAAAAACAGTATAAAACATTAAAATTGGCCCTCCTCTAATAAAAAATAAACATTATTAAACACAATACATAAAACAGCATTACCTATCACACAGAGACATAGCTGGAAATCCAGACAGGAAACAATTGGGGCCAGCTAACATCTCCCAACAAAGGATTCCCCCAGGCAGGAAATAGCTAGGCTTTGAAGCTGCAAGACTATTGCAACATTCACACTTGTCTCAAGCGGACAAGAGTTCTTTCTCCCACCCTGGACATTCCACAGATATGTAAACTCCACTTGCCTAGTTTCCAACAGACCTCACAACCTCTGAGGATGCTTGCCATAGATGTGGGTGAAATGTCAGGTGAGAATGCTTCTGGAACATGGCCATACAGCCCGGAAAACCCACGGCAACTCAGTGATTCCGGCCATGAAAGCCTTTGACAACACAAAAAAGCAAAACTTGGGGAATTGAGAGGATGAACTGAGACTGCATCTAGTGCAATCAAACCCTACTTTGTCCCCCGGATCCCCTGTCCTGATACATTACATTTATCTCTCACCCAGAGTTTTAAAATTTTTTATCTTTTGCAATTGGCCCTGCCCACTGTGATCAATTTTCTATGTTCGAATGTTCTGATTTTATATTGTCTGATGTGTTTATTTATATTGGTTCTTGTACTTCATTTTTTTCTTTTTCTTTATTTTTTGCTGTGTTACTGTGTTATATTGTTTCACTGTATTGCTGGGCTTGGCCTCATGTAAGCCGCCCTGAGTCCCCTTGGGGAGATGGTGGCGTGGTATAAAGATTTATTGTAATTATTATTATTATTATTATTATTATTATTACACTAGCCATCCCCTGCCATGCATTGCTGAGGCCCAGTCTGTGTATATGTGGTTTTGTATGTGCATTATATTTTTATTTTTTTGGCATTTTAAGTCTCTTCCACTGTGTTTCCAGTGTCTTTGTGAGTGTTGGTCACTCGTTGGCCTGATAGGTGTATTTTGTCCAAATTTGGTGTCAATTCATCCAGTGTTTTTTGTTATGTTAATCCCACAAATGAACATTACATTTTTATTTATATAGGTAAAAGGTAAAGGTTTTCCCCTGACATGAAGTGCAGTCATGTCCAACTCTGGGGTATAGTGCTCATCTCCATTTCTAAGCAAAAGAGCCGGCGTTGTCCGTAGACCCTTCCTAGGTCATGTGGCCAGCATGACTGCACGGAGCGCCATTACTATATATATATATTGTTAGTTAGGTGATCCCTCATAGTCCAAGGATGATGGTCCTCCAAGTTCGGTGTTCTGGCGGTGGGTCCGTAGGTGACTGTGGAGCCCTATTGTTGATCTGCATCTTCTCCCACAGTGAGGGCATCGGTTTCCAGGTGGAAGGCGGTCCTGGTCGGTGTTGGCTTGATGCGCCTTCCTCTTGGCACGTTTCTCTCTTTTGCCCTCCATTCGTGCCTCTTCAAATTCTACAGCACTGCTGGTCACAGCTGACCTCCAACTGGAGCTCTTAAGGGCCAAGGCTTCCCAGTTCTCAGTGTCTATACCAGAGTTTTCAAAACTCAAAAACTCTCAAAATTTCATTATAAATGGCAGTTCCTAATTGGTTCTGTCGTAAAAGTTGCCAATAATGAAATAATAATTAAATTTTGAAAGTTTTGTTAGAGTTTTGAAATTTTCACCACCAGAACTTTAGTTTTGTAAGTACTTTAGAACCATGGATTGCCCAGGCCTAATACACACACACACACACACAAACATATATATATTAGGCCTGGGCAATCCATGGTTCTAAATGGTTCATTATATTGTCATTATATAACAATTTTATAATTGTTATATATATATTATATATAAAAAGGAAGAGGGGCCGACCAAGGGCAAGATGGATGGATGGCATCCTTGAAGTGAGTGGACTGACCTTGAAGGAGCTGGGGGTGGTGACGCCCGACAGGGAGCTCTGGCATGGGCTGGTCCATGAGGTCACGAAGAGTCGGAGACGACTGAACGAATGAACAACAACAATTGTCATTATATGGTTAGCATATCGTTCATTCAATGGGTCCACACTGCAAGTGCTTTGGCCTTTCGAGCTCCAGCATTCCCGGCTGTGCTTCCAAGCTTTCTTGAGGCGCCTGGGATTTGAAGTCCAAGAAGTAGGAGGACCCAAAGATAAAGCATGAAACGCATCCCCGCTCGGACTTCATTTCCCGTGATGCATCGGAACTCGGAGCCGGATTCGAACGTTCGTCCATGGCGAGGGTTAACCCCTTCCTTCCTGGCAGAAAGCGAGGGAGGCGCCCGCTTGCTTCTCGCTTCGCCTCTGGCCAATCGCCGCTCCGCCTCAGTCCTGCGTCAAGGCTGCTTAATCCCCTCCGGCGTGGGATCCGCACTGGGTGCTGGGAGTCCTCTTAGTGCGAATCCTCTGGGGTTTGGAAGAGGAATCCCTACTTTTGAGCCATTGGGAGACTTCAAGCTTTGTCTTGAGACTTCACCTCGTGCACCAGCTTGAACTTTGGGTAATTCTTGGGACTTTAAAAAGTTGGGACAGCACTTTTGTATCTTTTTTATTTTCTCTGTAGGGGTAAAAAGGAGTGGTGGGTGTGGTTGGTGCTCTTCTATGGGACTTTTGGCAAAAGAGGCTCTTGGGGTGCATCCACACTGTCGAATTGATGCATTTTTGCACCACTTTGACTCTCCTGGCTCAGTGCTGTGGGATTCCTGGGGTTTGTAGCTTAATGAGGCAGAAAAGACCCTGCAAAACTACAACTCCCAAGATTCCAAAGTGCATTCACTCTATAGTGTAACTTAGGCATGGTCAAACTTGGGCCCTCCAGGTGTTTTGGACTTTAACTCCCACAATTCTTGGCCTCAGGCCCTTTCCTTTCCCCCCCTCAGCCGCTTAAGCGGCTGAGGGGGAAAAGGAAGGGGCCTGAGGCCAGGAATTGGAGTTGAACTCCAAAACACCTGGAGGGCCCAAGTTTGACAATGTATCCAAAGAAGTAACTTTTCCTAGCTCTTAGTGAAGGATACTCTTGGTTTTTTTCCTTGTTGTGTAATCTCTGCATGCTTTGATTTTTTAAAAAAGGCAGACATGTAGCCTTGCAGATGTTGCTGCCATGCCACAGCCTCTTTCTCACTGGCTAAATGCTTGCTTGCAGTTGCAGTGATAAGCTTTCCAAAGAGCCACGTGTTCCTGCTCTTCTGTCTCTGAAAAAAACTACTTGGCAGTGTAATTGTGTGGCTAGGCAAATGTTTTAAAGACAGTGTTGCTTCATATGGTTTCTACTTAGACATGTACATGGGTGTTGGCTTTTCTTCTTCTCCGTATAATTCGCAACTCCTTTTCAACACAGACTGTTGGGATATATTTCTATATGTTTTACAGCTTAATAGTCTCTGGACTGCACGTTTTTTTAATATTGTAGATTTTCAGTTAACCGGCACCCAATGGGGATAGTTAAACGTCTATAAATGTAGTTTCTGGCTGCTTGAGAGGTACTATTGAAAATAGGCCTAGCAAATACAAGGGCCGAGTGAAAAGTAATGCCTCGTAACTCCTCAACAGATGGCAGTACTGGTATGCGGCAGGTACAGCCTTGTTCAGTAGACTCTTCTCTACAGTTCCATTTTGGCGGGAAGCCTTAGCATTGAACGTTTGTGTTGTTAAAGTGTGCAGTATGAAACCCTGCACAGACAGTTGGTCAATGCGACTTAAGCAACGTGCAGTCATTGAATTCTTGAGAACAGAAGGTGTCACCCCAAAGGATTCATCAGAGAATGCAAGCTGTTTATGGTGATTGTGTTGGTGTGAGTACTGTGCGTCGTTGGGTTGATGAAGACGTTGAGAGAACTGTGAGACACTGGTTGTGGAAACAAAGAGTGTCGACTTCAGAAAACTTGTTCATTGTTGGCAGAAATGTATCCAATTGTCTGGTGATTATGTGGAAAAGTGAATAGTGGTAGGTAAAGAGCACATTATAAGGATTATTTCTGCGTCTGATTTATTAAAATATTCCCATTCAAACCCAAGTAACGGAGGTGGAGGCATTACTTTTCATTCAACCCTTGTACTATACCTCCAAACTATAGCATAAGCTTTGTATTGACTTGATATTGATATATTTACAATTTTTTTACCCTTCGCATTTGGCTCAACTTGCCCTTGTTTAATTCTTTTAGCATTTTATACTTTGTTTTATTGTGTTTTTTATTTTATTGCATTACTATGTTATTGTTCAGCATTTTTATTTGATGTTATCGTCTGTTTTGTATGTACTCTATTTTGCTTTATTTAAATTATTTGGGCTTGGCCTCATGTTAGCCACCCCAAATCCCTTTGGGGAGATGGTGACATTGTATAAATAAAGTTTATTATTATTATTGATATTAAAATACAGTTTGTTTATTTATCATGTCAGAAGCAAATCAAGAACACAGTTATAATGTTTAATAATCCACAAACAAAGTTAAAAACTTGGCATTATGGTAAATTTCCTTTGACCAGAAGCTGGTCACTTAAAATGCCTCTGGTGTTGCTGTAATAAGGTCCTCCATTGTGCATGTGGCAGTGCTCAGGTTGCATTGTAGTAGGTAGTCTGTGCTTTGCTCTTCTCCACACTCGTATGTTGTGGACTCTACTTTGTAGCTCCATTTCTTAAGGTTGGCTATGCATCTTGTGGTGCCAAAGCATGGCCTGTTCAGTGCCTTCCAAGTCGCCCAGTTTTCTGTGTGTCCAGGAGGGAGTTTCTCATCCAGTATCAGCCACTGATGGACATTCCAGGTTTTAGTCTGCCACTTTTGGGCTCTCGCTTGCTTAGGTGTTCCTGCTAGTATCTCTGTAGATCTTAGGAAGCTGTTTCTTGCTTTAAGTGGTTGGCATGCTGGCTGATATCCAAACAGAGAATGGGCCAACGATATCTTTCAATAGTGGCTGCTACTCCCTAGCAGATATCAGGTGGTGCAATGCCGGCTGAACAGTATACCGTAATTTCGCCAGCAGTATTAAAAAAAACAGAAATTAAAAGCAAATAATGAAAAAACTGAATGTGATACAGTTTTTACTGTATTATGCAAACAGGTTTTTAAAAATTGAAACTGTTACTGCTTTGGGGTTTTTTTTTTGGATTTTTTTTTTTGCCAGTTGGCTGAATTCTGGTTCACTGAGAGTCCACTGTACTGGTATTTGATGGTTTTATTAATTTCTGCCTTTTAAATGTGCGAGATGTTATTGTGAGAAATCATTCTGAACAACACTCAAAACACAGGGAAATTCCAGACAGGAAACAATCAGTACCAGCTTACACCTCCCAGCAAAGGATTCCCCCAGGCAGGAAGCAGTCAGGCTTTGAAGCTGCAAGGCTATTCAGTGCTAATCAAGCTAATCAGTTGCGACATTCACAAGTGCCTCAAGCAGACAAGAGTTCTTTCTTCCACGCTGGACATTCCACAGATATATAAACCTCATTTGCCTAGTTTCCAACAGACCTCACAACCTCTGAGGATGCCTGCCATAGATGTGTGTGAAATGTCAGGAGGGAATGCTTCTGGAACATGGCCATACAGCCTGGAAAACTCACAGCAATCCATTCTTTAGGCTTCCTTGGTCCTCCAGATTTTTTAGACTTCACCTCCCAGAATCTCTGTGGGTTGACATTATAGATGGGAAACAACCCAAAACAACTACAGGGCCAAATGTTGATAACCATGGCTGTAGAACAATCTAGCGTAGTAATTAGAGTATTGACACAGAATTTGGCAGATCAAAGTCCCTTGCAAAACACTGAATGAATCGGGGACAATTATTGTCCCTGAGGCCGACCCACCCCTCAAGCTACTATCTATGATACCTTGTTCTAACTAGGGGGAAGCTAGAGCATACATTTGGCAATAGTAAAAGTATCCTAGATTATGTTTTAAATAACTCCTTGCAGGAAAAAATCTGGAATATAGAGCGGTTTTAATAAACTAATTATTTTAGAGAAATTAGCTCATTAGCAGATTAGCTCATTAGCCCTCATTGCTTGCTATTTGTTCTGCACTTCATTTGCTAACATAATTTCTTTAAAATAATGGATGATGTAGTGATCATCACAAATAGTACAGTTATTTTTGTACTGCCTAAATGTCATCAGCCTGTTAGTTGGTAGAACTGGGTTTGATAGCAGATAAGCCTACCCCTTTGCTTTTTTCACTGTTTTGAATTATGTTTGTAGATAATCTGAGTGTGGCGACAGCAGTTAAAGAGATGTCTGGATACAGCCACAAACCCCTGCTGAGACCAGCCTTGGCCCTTGTAATGGTGCTTTTCCTCACCTATGTGGGTGTCACCAGTGCCCAGCACCAGCGGAGTGAGGCCAAGCGAGAGAAACGAGTGGAACCTGACTTTCTGGCCCAAATGTCTCGTACCATAAGGAAGACACTGGAGGATTTAATTGGAAGAGACAACTTCCAGATTCTAAGTGAGGTAAGATCCATATTAATCTGCTTTCATGAGAAGGGCAATAAGTAGCAGTAGTACATGCATGGCTAGAGTTAGATGTTTAGGGAGAAAGAGGGCAATGATGCATGGGGTCCTTCAGAAGGTTCATGAATACAGCCAGATTGGATGCCGTTCCCTGCAAAATAAAGCCAACCCCAAGAAAACTAGTAAATTAGAGTAATAGTAAAGTAAAGATTTCATCTGACATTAAGTCTAGTTGTATCTGACTCTGGTGCTCATCTCCATTTCTAAGCCAAAGAGCTGGCATTGTCCATAGGCGCCTCCAAGGTCATGTGACCAGCATGACTGCATGGAACACCATTAAGAGTAATACTCTAGCCTTAATCCTTGCTTGATGGTTTTCTATGTCATGATATTATAGCAGAGGGAAATATTTCGACATATATAATCATGTCAGAATCTTTCACTCAGGTTTTTCCTTGACATTGAGTCTAGTCGTATCCGACTCTGGGGGGTGATGCTCATCTCAATTTCTAAACCGAAGAGCCGGCGTTGTCCGTAGACACCTCCAAAGTCATGTGACCACATGACTGCATGGAGAGCGCCATTACCTTCCTGCAGAAGCGGTACCTATTGATCTACTCACACTTGCATGTTTTCGAACTGCTACATTGGCAGAAGCTGGGCCTAACAGCAGGAATTCACCCTACTCCTCAGACTCAAACCACCGACCTTTCGGTCAGCAAGTTCAGCAGCTCAGTGGTTTAACCCGTTGCGCCACCTGGGGGCCCATGAAATAGGAGTAATACTGTAGCCTCAATCCTTGCTTGCTGGTTTTCTGTGTCATGATATTATAACAGGGGAAAATATTTTGACATATATAATCTTGTCAGAATCTTTCACTCAGTTGATTCACTTTCTAATCTAATCATCTGACTCTGGCATGGCCAGCCCAAGCTCCAGGGGGGAAGGCTGAAGGAAGAGGACAGAGATGTACTATAACATCCATATGCCAGTCTAGAATAAAAAATGCGTAAGACCTATCAAGTTGATGGGGTTTGTAAAGTGAAATTTATTTTTGAAATCAAGTATCAAATGGTATGTTTTAAAATGGGATTCAGTGACATGATATGAAACAATAACACGATATTGTTTGGCTACAGAAGTCCACCTCATTTGATAAAAATTATAGAACATACATTTACTGGTCCTTTTTGGCAGCTGCATAATTAATTCTCTTCCTAGTTTTACAGTACTAGCCAGAAACCCCTTGGTTCAACCTACTTACATTACGTTCCTACCTAAACAAAAATGCTTTCCATTTATCATGATATTATAGCATTTATGCTTTCCATTTATCTTACAAGACCATGGTAAATCTCCCCATTAGATCTGTACATTCTCATCTTAGCTTCTTCCTTAATTTCTTCACTTTCAGCATCTGCAGAGTCAGATTGCCCTAACTGGTTAGTACTGGAGAAAGAGATGATTGTGTGGGAAAACCCCTTTGAGTTCTGGGAGCTTGTAACTGAGGCCTCTTCCACACAGCTGAAAAAATACCCCACATTTTCTGCTTTGAACTGGAATGTAGGGCAGTGAGGATTCAGATAACCCAGTTCAAAGCAGATATTGTGGGATTTTCTGCCTTGATATTCTGGATTATATGGCTGTGTGGAAGGGCCCTGAGCAGACTAATGAAGAATTTATTTTATTTGCCTTATTTCTACCCCGCCTTTCTCTACCCCAAAGGGGACTCAAGGCAGCTTACATATGGCAATTATTCAATGACTTAAATATAAACAGTAAGCTTAAAATCAATTGAATAAAAAATAATACATATGAAACATTTAAAAATTATATTCAGTATTCTTCTGTGTCTGTGTCTATCTTCTTTCAGAATCTCTCTTCCGCCCTTTGGATAGTGTCCTCTGGTATTTCTTCAGCTTTGTTGGTTGTGGCTCGAGTTTCAGGGCAGTTCCTTACTTCCTTTGGGATGGCAGGTAAGTCACCAAGAAGATAGGAAAAAAGAGTTGAATGAGACACTTCCTGCTCACTTGTTTACCTACACTGCAAACATAAATCAGGTCATAAATCTATGCTTCCTAATTGTCCTGTTAAATTCAGTGGAGATTCTCATGGAAGTAACCAAGGCTTAAAACAGAGTGTCCACATAATCCTATGAGGATTATAAGAAAAGCCATGCTGACTCAGACAAAAATCTGTCTAGTACTCCATTTTATACCGTGGCCAACCAGATGGGAAGCCCATAAGCAAGACATGAGTGCAGTGCCGTCTTTCCACTTCATGTTTCCCAGTAAATGGCATGGAGAAGAACACTGTCTCCAATCCCAGAGATAATACTTAGCCATCATAACTAGAAGTGATTGATGCCTTGTCGCATTTTAAAGCTCGCTGGGTTAATTAATTAATTAACTTTGTTTTATATTCCACCATTTTCCCCTCACCGAGGGATTCAGAGCGACTAATGGCTCTGTCACTACACATTGTGGCAGAGAGCTCCACAGTTTAATTATGTGCGGTGTGGTTTGATTATGTGTAGTGTGAAGCAGTGCTTTGTTTTATCTGTCCTGATTCTCCTATCACTCAGATTCTCTCAATAACAAGGTGAGAGAAGAGGGGACAGCTCTTCTTACCCACTTTCTCCTAGCCTATTACATCTACTGTACAAATTGTATGCATCCCAACAAGTTTTCCTTAGAGGTTGATAGGGTCATTCTTTAATCCAGCATTAGTGTTTGTCCTTCATGTTATAATGTCCTTGGCTTAGAAAATAATTATGATTGTCAGTGATTTGTACTGAAGCGGTTTTTGTTTTATGATCTCCCAAAGATAGTCTTGATGTTTCCTTTTTTCAGCAGAAAAGTGTCCCTTGTTCTCCAGTTTGTGTCCCAATGCTAAATACATTTCTCTAAATGGAATTTCCTCTAGTTTATCAGGGCTAATTTCAGTCTTGCAACTGCTTCCTTTATTATAGCCCTGTTTCCTTGAGAATATAAAAAAAAATATCAATGTATTTTAGCATATGCCCATGTAGTGATTATCCAGTAAGTTTAGATATGCCTGTGTAGTGGTCTTGGTCCCTATGTAAGTTTCCCTGAGTCCCTTCAGAGAGATAATGCCGGGATATAAGAATAATGATGATGTTGTTGTTGTTGTTGTTGTATAAGAATAATGTTATTGTTGTTGTTGTTGTTGTTATAGTGACCATCCAGTAAGTGTTTCTCACAAGTTAATATGATCACTAAAGGGTCTGGACTTAAAGGTGTGTGGTTTCAGTACGGTACTTGAATTTGCTGCTGTAAAATGTATGAAAGCACCTGGGACCCATTCATACAATACAGTTATAGTAATATATTCCTCTTTACTGCTATGCGAACATCTCATGGGATTCTGCGATTGGAGATTTAGGGGCTGGTATTTAGAATTCCCAGCCATAGCACTCTAGAGTCTCACCAAATTACAAGCCCAGGGATTTCCCGTGATGTTCCCATGGCAATTAAAGTGGAATACATTTATGTAACATGAATGGGCCCCAGATTCCATACATATTATGCTATGCATCAAGGAGAGCAAAATTTGTATGAGCAGAATTGGTTTTACGCCTAGCTTAGAAAAGTTATTTTTTTATCTATTGCATTCAGACTTCCCCAGCTGCTATGGCTTCTTATTTCTGGAACTATAATCTAGTAAACCATGAAGACATTTTCCCCACCTGCATTTGACAGTCTAGCATTTGAAGTAACCATACAATTTTTCTTGGAAAGAAAGATGTGAGGCTCTAGTATTGGCCAATAGTAGTGCTATAGTGAGTTCATTATAGGAGAGATGTTTTGCTCTGGCTGTTGGTAACACTTCATCACAACCTGCCATGAATTGGAATGGCACCATCTAAATTGAGTCCATATAATCCCTTGGCTGTTTGCATTGTTTTCCAGGCGACCATTTGACCCAGTTCCTGAAACGGAGCCCGGATGAGGTCCAGACGCTGCTGCTTTGGGGCTTGGCTGCTCTGATCGGTTATTGGCTGCTGTCGCTGGTGCTGAGCCTCTTGGTTGCCATCTTGAGCCGCATCATGTGGGGCCTTAAAGTGGTGCTCTTTGGGGCCTGCTTTATGTTCATCGTCTCCTCAGTGCCTGACCACTCTGTGCAGACACTTCTTCTGTTGGCCCTGCTCACACTCTATGTCCTCCTGGGTTGGCTGAGCGGGTCCCACAACTCTGGCACACGACTGGAAGCCAAAATCCGCGGCTTGGAGCGCCAGGTGGAGGAGCTGCAGCGCAGGCAGAGGCGATCGCCCAAGCATCTGGATGACGAATGAGCTCAGAGGAGTCTGTGATGCCAGTGTATCTTTCCTAAAAGGCAACCCCTTTTTCCCTCTTGTATTATGTGACTGCTTTCTAGACTATAGATGCTCTCAGGTAGCTTTTTGTCCACCACTATGCTGGAATAAGTAAGCCCTAAAGCAAACTTCTGTAGAGGATAATGAAATTATCTGAGATAGTTCAGCTTCCCAATCACTGCTCTAGTATCTTACTCAAAAGACATTTCTCATTCCTTGTTTCCTTTCTTCTTGGGTTCTTCAGTTTCTCTTATTCCAGAGCTGCCGTGAGCAATTTCAGCACATCTGGTGTCTTGTTTCCACCCCCTTCGAATATCTCTGTATTAGAGTCTAGACCTACCAACTTTAATGTTCTTCTTTTCCAGCGGGTTCATGGTAGACTACTTTGTGTCTTTAAGGATGATGGGACCAGGTGCTGATCCTATTTGAAAAAACTGGTTATCCTTTTCTCCAGAACATATCGATAGTAAAGCCAAGTGCCTCTCTGAAACTAAAGAAGATGGCTGTGCTTGTGACAGTACAGCAAATCAGGATTGTGTGCCCTGCCTCCCCGTGAGCCAGAGATGCCCTTAAAATAAAGACCTCATGATTCTTCCCTATGCAAACTAGCTTTTCTGGGAGGGGGTGCTAAATAGTGTCATGACAGGTAGAGTGTACATGTATATATAAATAAGCCATAGCCCGGTGACAAAGTGAATGTACCACAGCTCTTCCCTCCAAACGGAATTTGTGCCATTAGCAAATGGAATAAGACCTCCAGACTCAATTGCCTTTTCTGCCTATTTTGGGAAGGAGGCATAACATACTCAGTGGTGTGAACTTCATGTCTGTTGCCAAATATATATATATTTTTAAGCTGTCCATTTTAAACAAATGGAATATTTTGTTATAACCTTCCAAATAAAGGCTATTTGATCATTTCTTAGCTTTTAGTGGTTTCTTTCATTTCATTATTTTCTGAAGAAAATGGGTGCAGACATAGGATATCTGATACAAGGCATTTGTGTGCGTCACTTAGTAGATAGCAATAGTTTTTTAGTACTACTGCCATCATTCCAAGGCCGCCAGGTGGCGCAGAGGAGCTGCTGAACTTGCTGACCAAAAGATTGGTGGCTCAAATCCAGGGAATGGGGTGAGCTCCCACTGTTAGGCCCAGCTTCTGCCAACCTAGCAGATTGAAACGTGCAAATTGTGAGAAGATCAATAGGTACTGCTTCTGTAGGAAGGTAACGGCGCTCCATGCGGTCATGCTGGCCCATGACCTAGGAGGTTTCTATGGACAATGCTTGCTCTTCGGCTTAAAACTGGAGATGAGATGACACGACGACTTAATGTCGGGAAACCGTTACCTTTTTACCAACATACTGATGGTTAGGCTGGTGAGGGATGATGGCAACTGCAGTTAAATTTCTGGACATTTCCCAACCTTTTTAAAAGGGTAGGTGTTGAAGCTGTTTGATTTGATCACTTTCACAGTGTTTTAAAAATTGCTTCATCTGTGGTGTGCTTCCACATACATGTGCCGGTTGTCTTAGTCTGCAAATCCCAGTTTCTAAGTCAGTGTGTGTAAGACCATTGTTTTCACAAAGTGGAGTAGATTTTTACCAAGAGTCAACTCATAACACAGCAGAAGTTGATACTGACTGTTAATGTAGAAGGACTCTTATAACAACTTCACCAGGTCTCTCAAATGTGGTTTTATTGTTACCCTACCATGTGACTGCTGCAACTTTGGATATAAAACATTGAAATGACTAGGTACTTTGTTTTGAGATTTAAAGATGGTGGAATAACAGCATTGCTGCTTTGCCACCTGTTTGTTTAGTCCACATGCCTCCTGTCCTCCACTTTTTGGGGAGTTGTGTTCAATGGATACAAGCAACATATGAAAATTTCCCTCCTCTCTGCCCAGTATATGTGGTCCAGTGGAAGTAGGTGCCTCCGGTATTTTTACCAAGCTATAGAAGGACATTATAAACAAAAGTTTATAAACATGCAAGAGCCACATTGCTAATCTTACTGTGAAACAGAATGAGGCAGCTGCCTCAGGCAGCAGGTGCTAAGCACAGGGAAGCAGTAACAGCCTCCAGATTGTTTTGCCTGGAATCTACCAGTCATTCATTTCTGTTGGGAAAATAGGGGCTCATGTGACACAGCTTGATCTGTTCCCTTTGGCCTTCCTGCAGTGCTTTAGTGCAATGGAGAAAGCTTTCATGGTGCTGCTGTGGAAGCACGATTCGGCTCCCAGCCCAGTTGCCTGTCTATGTGACATAGGCACAATCTTTGCTTAAGGCATCTAAGCAATGTGGGAGCAGCCCTCAAAACTAGCATTTGCTCTTGATATGCAAACAGCAGTAGAATGCCTATTCTTTCATGATGGGAACAAAAGATTGTTTTTCTAAGGCTCAAATTCACAAAAAGCTGCTTAAACTAGACTTGTCTTTAAACCAGAGGGACAGGTTTACTTGCAACTGGTTTGTCCTATTGATTTTTGTGGGGTTTCCTGTACAATTTTCTTTCCATGAACTGTGGCTGTTATGTTCACTCTTTCATGAAACAGCAGTGGATTGTAGCAGGAAAGGCAATCACATTGGTCTTTAATTGTCTTTTTGCCTCTGTCAGGGCGTTATATCCACTCTGAAAGGAGAAAAGGGTTATCCAGCAATTTGTAAAAAGCTCAACCAGTTGGGTATATTGAAGTTGAGAGAAACTGTTGAGGTCAGATTAGCAGGTTTTTCCTGCAGTCTTGGAAGGAAATCCCTATTAAATAATGGTTCCGGAGTAAGCTTGCTGGAAAGGAAGTTCATATAAAAATACCAGTGCTTGAGTAAACATGGATAGACCTGGCCTGTAGCTTGTTAGTTGACCCACTTTGCAGAAAGGGGTCCAGGTTGTGATTTCCATAATTGAATTGTTTACTGTGAGTATGGATTATGGAATCTGTTGCCTGAAGTTTCCTTACTTACAGACAAACTTTGACCAAAATGAATAAGATTTGTATTGTCAAAGGCTTTCATGGCTGGAATCACTGGGTTGTGATTTTTTCGTGGTGTATGGCCATGTAAACCACCACCACGAAAAAATCATAGTGTATGGCCATGTCTTCTGCCAACCTAGCAGTTCGAAAACATGCAAATGTGAGTAGATCAATAGGTACCGCTCTGGCGGGAAGGTAACGGCGCTCCATGCAGTCATGCCGGCCACATGACCTTGGAGGTGTCTATGGACAACGGCGGCTCTTCGGCTTAGAAATGGAGATGAGCACCACACCCCAGAGTCAGACATGACTGGACTTAGTGTCAGGGGACTACCTTTACCTTTACCTATGGCCATGTTCCAGAAGCATTCTCTCTTGACATTTTGCCTGCATCTACGAATAAGACTTATTTGAAAAATAACTTTAAAGGAGGGTGCTTGCCAACAAGCCTCTCTCTCTAACCCACAGACACACACTTCTTTTTATGGCTGTTTATCTCATACGTATTTTGGAGCCCCCAGTGGCGCAGTGAGTTAAACCGCCGAGCTGCTAAACTTGCTGACCGAAAAATCACAGGTTCAAAGCTGGGGCGCGGCGTGACCCCCCACAGTCAGCCCCAGCTTCTGCCAACCTAGCAGTTCAAAAAAATGCAAATGTGAGTAGATCAATGGGTATTGCTCCAGTGGGAAGGTAAGGGTGCTCCATGCCAGCCACATGACCTTGGAGGTGTCTACGGACAATGCCAGCTCTTTGGCTTAGAAATGGAGATGAGCACCAACCCCCAGAGTTGGACACGACTGGACTTAATGTCAGGGGAAAACCTTTACCGTTACCTTATACTTTGGACTACAACTCCCATTAGCCATATTAGCTGAGGGATTCTACAAATTGTGAACTTAAAGGTTTTTTTTTCATTTCCTTAACTTTGCTACCAAAATAAAAATATTTTGCAACCTCACAGCATTGTACCTTGTGTGGAAACAGAATCAATTAAATCAGTTTTAGTTCCAGACTGTAATACCACAAAATGTCAGTGTGTGTCAGAAGGGGGATACTTCTGCAAAGCACTGCATGTTACGGTTCCTTTTTAATTGGACTCTTGAGTTTCTTGTTGGTGCCACCCTGTTTGAGAAAGCTGCTTATGGAATACAAACGGCTCCAATTGCAGGGTTTCTATGATCCAAGACAGGAGGCAGTGTGGTTGTTTGGATGAAAGAAAAGGGTTTCATTTGGACGGGTGTGTAATTGACGGCTTCTGCCGCCCTCAAGAGGAAATGTTCAGTGAAGTGAATTCCTGTTTCACATTCATATAAAGCTCCAGTGAATTTGATAACAGTATCAGTCAGTCAAAGCTCCTGGCCTAGAAATTGAGCTCTTTCCTCTTAGCATTTCATGTTGCTAATGAGGGATTAATTCTCGCAATTCACAGTTCTTCTCGGGTAAGCTAAAGATGCTAAGGCTTCTAAACATTTTCATTTCTAATGCCAGCCCTTCTCAGTGTTATGTAAGAACTTCTTATCCCTGCCTGTTGGCATTTCAAAGATATCTCTTTGGAGCAGTGCCAGTTCCACACGGCTGTTTTTAGCTTTTGCAATGGAAACAGAAATGTGTGCAGTGGCATCTCAGGTACCACCACTCTCTCCCTCATCATCAAATTTAACCCAGTTCCTATTAAAATCTACCTACAACCACAAATCCAATCCTGCTTACATGGCTGCATTAGCAAATAGTTCTGAGCTTATTGGGTTCTTGAAGCTTAACTTGTTCCCAAAGAAGGCCATGTGGGATTAAACTGAACGAGAAGAGGACATGGATACTGTTTCCCATTTTCCCCTCAGATCTATTGCATCATCTCAGCTTTCCATGGAAGTCTATTTTTACAGGGGGGTTTTGTGTGTCAAAAACTGCAAGTTGCTTCTGGTGTGAGTGTGCTGTCGCACGCTGGGCCTGTGCGCATGACTGTAGACAGGACATAAATTCCATGTGCCCAACGGGACGCCGGGGCTGCCTCAGATTAAAGGCCCTTAGATTCCCCCAAACAAAGTTCTGTAGAGGCTTAAAGTAAGTCCAACAAAGTTCTTTATTGATGAAAACAAACAGGTACTTTAAAGGTTTCTTAACTGTCTATTGGCTCTTGCAATCTTGTTCACTGGGAACAGGCACTGTCTTCTTAACTGTAATTAACTAATGGGGAAATCCTAACTTCTAATCTGGGCAGTCTGTACTTGCCTCTGTTGACGTGGAGCCCCTGCACCCGGTACCAACTGCGTCTGGCTTCTGCGAGCGACCCTTGCCTCAACAGAGCTTTGTAGACCTCCAGGGAAAAAGGAGTTCAGGTTGCTGTGATGGCCGGCTGAAGTCCCTCAGCCAAGCTGTGGCTGTATGTCTCCCGGCCAAGCTGTAGGGCTGTATAACCCCGGCCAAGCTGTAAAAGACGAATGACCCCAGCCAAGCTGTAGAAGACGAAGCTTTTCTACAGGAGCCACTTCGTTTTATGCCCTGTGCGAAACGCTTCTCTGTGAGAACTAACTCAAAATGGCTCCTGTTCCCACTAAAACTCAAAAAGGGGCGGGACCAGGGAACCTAACTATAATTGACAGGTGGCTTGCCCTATGATTGCAGCCAAAAGAAGCCACCTATCTGTTTCAGAGTCCCTGAAACTTAGGACTGCAACAAACATTAAATGCAAAAGCAAACAGAAATGGAGCTCCTGGTACAACTGTACCAGCACAGTGAGAGAATTGGCTGTCTGCAAGGATGTTGCCCAGGGGACACTTGGATGTTTGATGTTTTATCATCCATGTGGGAGACTTCTTTCATGCCCCTGCATGGGTAGCTAGAGCTGACACAGGAGGCTCAACTCACTTTCTCCCCGGATTCAAACCACTGACATCTTGGTCAGCAGTCCTGCTGGCACAAGGGTTTAACCCATTCTGCCACTAGGGGCT